AGAAGAGGAGTTTGAGAAATATTCGGGAATTGGATGAGCATGGTGATAGGATGTGAGGGTGAGAGAGGGAAAGAGAGAGGACTCTGGAGGGATGCCTGGGCGTTTGGTTTGGGTGACTGCGAGGCTGATAGTACCACCTCCTGAGCTGGGGAAAGGACTAGGGAGGGAAATGCATGCAGGTGGACGTGAGTGCTCACTTTGGCAGGGACACATGTACATAGGAGCACGTACATGCACACACGTGCACGCTTTGTGGACACGCTTGGAAATTCTGGAGATTGGTACATCTGTACTGTGGCTCCTCGCAGGGTGTAATGTCTACTTTTTGTGGAGTATCTGTTCTCTACCTAGTACTGTACGAGGCACTGCACACACACACGTTCTCACACACTCTTTAATCTCTACGACCATATGAAGTACAGTTTTACAGATAAGGAACCAGACCCAGAGAGGTTAAGTAAACTCCTGAAGATCACAGAGCTAGTAAGTGGCAGAAGGAAGATTTTTTTCACCGACTGAGATCCAACCACCCACAGACAGAATTCCTGCCAGTGGTGTCAAGAAGCCTTCCGTTCATCTCCAGTGTGACCCACCCCGTTTTATCAGGGACCAGTGCTGGAGCCAGACTCCTGGGTTTGAAACACAGCCCCATCCCTTACAAGGCGAGTGATCCCATCCACCTTCCTGTGCTTCGGTTTCCCCATCCTGAAGCTGGGGAGAACCCAGTACCCACCTCCTAGGGTGCTTGTGGGAAGTAGATGAGTTAGCGCATGGAAAGCGCTCAGCCCAGAGAGGGCTCCCTGGGCGCTGTCTATGGTGGGGTGGCGCTCGCCCCTCACCTCAGTGTCTGCCTCCTTCTGTCCCTTCCATCCCCTCTCTACCTGCCACCTCCTTCGTTTGTATGCCCACTCTTCCTCAATTCCCCACAGGAACTTCTTTCACCATTTGCCTTTGAACCTTTGTCCTCTATTTTCAGCCTCCAAGTCCTTGGCAGACAGTGAATTAAAGCCCAATCAATCAGCAGAAACCATTCAAGGGAAAACGATTCGTGACTCCTCCCCCGAAGCGTTCTTCTAGTCAGGCATTTCCCCGAGAGCCTGTGCATTCATCCCAGCATTGCCTGGGCCCCTGAGAAACAGATCATAAAATCCAAATTTAAAACCCCTTCCTCCCTGAGTGAGGATGCTCAGGTGCCCCTTGGAGCCGAGGGTCTGAGCTGACCCCAGCCCAGCTAACCGACTCTACTCTAGCCATGAGCTAACCCTGGATCCCTGACGCCGAGTCGAGTCATTCTCAGCATCACTGGCCAGGAAACTTGCCCACGGGAAACAAGAGCAGAAAGCACAGCAAATTCCAGAGCACAGTTCCTTATCTTGAGAATATTTAAGCAAATCCCATGGCCCTGAGTGTGGATGCAAGGTGTCTAAACTGGGTTAAAACCTCGGGCCTGCACCCAATTAAAAACTCCTTTACCCAAAAATTCCCACAGAAATCACTGCAGCTAAGTCTTACTTTTTGGAAAAAGGAAGTCGTAGGTTTATAAACATTAAGGGCTTTCCCTCTGTTCACCTGCTAGTGCCCGTGTTATCTGGAGGGGCTGCCTCTTCCCCCTATTTCCTGTGTGGCCCCACAGGAGCCCATAACATTTAAGGTGATAATTGTCAAAGAAAAGTGCCAATAAGTTCAAAACATAAACCTACAATTAAGCTTGCAGCTCATTGTCACTTGCAGCTTCAAGGCCCTGTAGGAGTTTTCCTTTTCCCCTGAGTTGTCCGTCCAGGGCAGACGAGTAGGGGGCCCCAGTGCCTTTCTTTTTTTTTTTTCTTTTCCTTTTTGTCTTTTTTCGTGACTGGCAACGGATCGCAACCCTCAGTGTCACGCCCGTACCGGACCGGGACTGGCAACGGGATCGCAACCCTCGGTGTTGCGCCCGCACCTCGCTCAGCCAGTGAGCGGCCGGTCTGTATGTGGGATGCGAACCCTCGGCGGGAGCGCCGCCGCACTCCCAAGCGGCACACTGTAGCAGTGCGCCACCGGGCTGGCCCCCCAGTGCCTTTCTGAGAGCTGGTCCCAGACCTGAATCCAAGACAAAGCTCAGAAGACACTCCAGCCTTTGTTCTAAAGTCAAGTTCAGGCCCTCGAATGTAGGCCGTGGCCCTAGCTGTCACGGAGATGCCACTACCTGCCTTAGCTCACCCCTCCTTCTCCACGTGGGGACCATCCTGCAGAGTTCGACCCCACTGCAGAGTTCAGAAGCTCCCCCTTTTCCTTGTGGATAGGGAATGCTTCAGCGTGGGAACTGACATTATTTTATCCCCCACTGAAATCTTAGTTACTTAGAGGCTCCCAAATGGGGCTTAGTTCTCTCATCCAGAAAGTCATCCAAACATGTTCTCAAACCAAACACAACAAGGTTATGTGCTCCCAAGGGGCCAGTGGGGACATAATAGGATAGGCAAGTCTGTGCTGCAGTAACAAATACTCTGAATTCCCAGTGATTTAATGCAACCAAGGTTCCCTTCTTTCCTCCTTTACTATAGGAACTCGCACTGCATGTCCAGTGTGGGGAGTGGCGAATGTGGTGGCGCTCTGGTGCACACAGTCACTCAGGGACCCAAGCTGCCAGGAATGCCGTCTTTCCCCATCTGGGACATAAGGCCTCCCAACACTGTAGCAGAAAAGAGAAAATGGTAGGGTCACAAGTGACTCTTAAATGCTTTGGCCCAGCAATGACACACATCACTTTTGTTCACAGCCCATTGGCCAGAGCTTCTTGTATGGCTCCTCCTACTGTAAAGGGACTGAGGAAATGCCAAGGAAATGTGCTGACGTTCAGTGAGCAGGAAAATGCTCTGATGCAAAGGCTATTATAGGACCATGCTCAGAGCGAGGGTTTTAGAAGAGCCGAGGCCATGACTTCCTGTTCATTCTTTCCACCTGGGGTGCATCAAGTGGCTGCCATGGTCTGTGTAATGTCCTGACTATGGTTATAGATTCTGACTCCAGAACACCTGGGACCAGAGCTTGGCTCAGCCCCTTATTAGCTGTGTGACCTTCCTCAGGCTGATGATTCTTCTCTACCTCGGTTTTTTCCTCTGTAAAATGGGAGCATTGATAGCATCTGTCTCTCGGTTTGTGAGGATTAAATTTGTTAATATTTGTAAAATGCTGCAAATGGTGCTAGGCACTCGATGAGGGCTCTGTAGATGTTAGCTAGCACCACCTCCACCACCTCCACCATCATCCTCATCCTCACATATTTGTAAAATGCTGCAAATGGTGCTAGGCACTCGATGAGGGCTCTGTAGATGTTAGCTAACACCACCTCCACCACCTCCACCATCATCCTCATCCTCCTCATTCAGAACCAGACACTGTTCTAAGTGTTGGAAGAATAAATGTCAAGGTCTCTCCTCTCACATGATGGGGGAGATGGAATATAAACAGGTAAATAATTAAATTAAGATGATAATTTCAAGTAGTGATGGTGCTAAAAAAAAATCGGGTGCATGAAAAGTTACTCATCATCACTAGTGATGAGGGAAATGAAAATTAAAGCCACAATGAGATACCAGCACATGTCGTTACACTGACTTTAAAAAAATTGACAATAACAAGTGTTTGCAAGGATGTAGAACAACTGGTACTCTCATAGGTTGCTGATGGGAATGCAAAATGGTGTAGCCACTTTGGAAATCTTATAAAGTTAAAAATATGCTTACCATACAACTCAGCAATCCTACTGCTAGGTACTTACCCAAGAGTAATAAACTTACGTTCATGCAAAACCTATATGTGAATATTTATAGTGCCTTTATTCATAATCTCCAAAAACTTTTAACAACTTAAGTGTCCTTCAGTCGGTGAGTGGATAAATAATGGACTACTGCTCAGCAATAAAAAAGAATGAAATTCTGATACAAGAGACAATGCAGGTAAATCGTAAGTGCATTATGCTAAGTGAACAAAGCCAGACTCAGAAGGCTGCATGTAGTTGACTCCATTTGTACGGTGCTCTGAAAAAGGAAAACTACAGGGACAGAAAACAGAGCAGTGGTTGGCCGGGGCTGGGGTGGGAGGGAGCTGACTACAAACGGACAGCACAGGGGACTTTGGGGGTGTTAGAATTATTCTATGTCTTGATTGTGGTAGTGGTTACATGGCCATATGCAGTTGTCAAAACTCACAGAATTGCACTAGAAAGAGTAAATTTTGCTGTGGGTTAATTATACCTCAGTAAGCCTGACTGGAAATGGGGAAAACCAAATGACAAATCAGCTCCTCAGGGTAGTGTGGCGTGGTAAGGAGGGGCTCCCTCACACGGTGGTGAGGGGAGGCTTTCTGAGGAGGGGCCGTCAGCTCAGGCCTGGCTGAGGAGAGGGGCCGGGTGTCATGTGGCAGAGCTGAGTGAGGGGGAGGGGACAGAGGTGGGAGACAGGCCGGCAGGCTGAGTAGCGTGCCTAGGCCAGGTTAAGGGGCTTCCACTCTCCTCTGGGTGTGGTGGGTGCCACTGGGGGTGTCGGCAGAGGGTGATTGAAGCACTGTGTGGGTGGGATGGGTCCTTGGGATCCTTGCTGAGGGTATTGCAGGGGTGGCGGGCAGAAGCCAGACATCATGGGTTGAGGGATGCTGGGGGCTGAGGACGTGTAAGTGAAGCTTCCAGGAGGCAGGGGACAGACTTGATGGGCAGCAGTGGGAACCTCAGAGAGAAGGGGGTGGGGTTGGCCAGCTGCAGAGGTGGGGCTGACTATGGAGGACATTGAGAGAGGGTGAGGTGAGAAGGGAGGGGCTTGGACAGGGCCTTGAGTGCCAGGCCAGCGAGTGACACTCCTGGGGTGGTGATCAGTGGAGGGCTGGCTCCCGACGTGGGAGGCAGCCCCGAGCCCCGCTGGGCTGGGCAACGGGGATCTGCCTTGGGGAACCCATGTGAGGTGGGCTCACCCCGGGGTAGCGGGAAGCCCCATCTCTGCCCGTGCTAACCTTCCCACTCTTCCCCACAGTGCATGCTGGGACCGCCACGGACAGGCTGCTGCTCCCGGGGCCCCCAGAGGCCCATCTATTTGCCTCCCGGTGCCGTCTGACCCAGGTAGGGGGACAGCGATGCCATGCTGGGACCGCCACGGACAGGCTGCTGCTCCCGGGGCCCCCAGAGGCCCATCTATTTGCTTCCCGGTGCCGTCTGACCCAGGTAGGGGGACAGCGATGTGGGCTCACCCTGCCTCGTGCCTCTGCGCCGGGTGGGAGGGCTCTGGGTGTGAGGACCGGCTCCCCTGACCCAGGCTGGCCCTCAGTGAGTGAGCCCCTGCCAAGGCAGTGCTGGGGGTCATGGTGTGGGGTTCGAAGGCCCCAGCAGCAGGGCGGCCACCCCGGCAGCCATCCTTCCTCACCAGGCTGCGTCCCCAGGGTGCTGAAGGCCCTGGGACCCATCACTCCCGCAGCCCCAGTTTTGTCCCCACATGCTCACTGTCTGCGGCTTGCTCGGGATCTGTCTGGCAATACACACCTGCCAAGTACTTTGGCTGTAGGAGGTTTTACATCTGCGGTTCCACCCCATTGCTGTCGCTCTGGCTTTTTGCTGCTGTTCCTGCCAAGCATCACAATAACATCACAGTGACGGCTCTTCCTCTGGAAGTTCCTGGCTCTCTGTGGGACTCCCCCAGGGCAGGTGTGCTCCTCCCAGCACCAGGTCCCTTCTGTGTTGGGCCTGAGAGAGGGCATTTCTCTCCTGCCCCTGGGCATCCCGAGGCCCTCAAGGGTTGTGATGGGGCAGCAATTAGGGTCGCTAGAAAAAATATAGACGTCCAGTTAAATCTGAAATTCAGACAGGCAACCAATAATTTTTTAGTATAAATATGTCCCCAATGTTGTACAGCACATACAATTTTATTTGCTAAACCTGGCAACCCTGACAGGGGCGGAACCCCCAGTCCCCCTCCTCCTCTGGCTGGTCCTCCCTGTTTGGCCCACACTGGCCTCCTTTGATCAGCTGCCTCCAGTGCCTATGGTGGGTGCCCCAGAGGGCAGCCCAGCCTGCTCAGGCCACAATTGATGGGCATTTCCTGACTCCCCAGGTCCCGCAGGCCATCGCTGGGGCAGAGACCTTGGGGATCTCTCTGGAGGCTGGGGCTGTAGGCTCCTCGCCTCCCGCTCTCCGACTCTCTGACAGCAGCGTCTGGGCTGAGGAGGTCATGGGGCGGGGCAGGCTGGACCTTTGTGCCCATGAACAGAGCTGTGAGACAGGCATGGAGTTGTGAAAGGAACCAGGAATAGAAGATTATTTGATGTGCTTGGAACCCAGAGTGCTTGGGGGTGCCAGGGTGGGGATGGGGGGGAAGGATGAGGCAGGGACAGATAATGGAGGGCTTGGAATGTCCTCTTTCTGCATTCTTTAACAGTGGGAAGCCATAGAAGGTGTTTTCTCCCTAAGCAAAATCATTTTTCTGCTCATGAAAATCATATATTCTGTAGATGTCACCTACCTACCTACCTAGAGGTATTTAAAGCATGCAGTTCGAGCCCTTTCTATAACCTTGTCCTCCCAAAGGCTAACCCCTGCTAGTTAGTTTGATAATACACGAGTATCCTTCCAGACTTTCTTCTCTGTGCTGATAGACATGTTTTAAAAGCAAAAACACGGGATCATACTAGTAACACTGCCCTGTCCCTGGTTCTTCACTTAACACCATGTCTTGTAGAGATCCTCTCAGGCTCTGCCACAGAGCTCTTCCCTATCCTTTTACATCCATTGCATGGATGGTCTGTGAATTATTTATCAATTATTAATCCTGTCAGTGGCCATTTAGGTTGTTTCTGGCTATTTATAAACCTCGCTCAGGGAACCTCTGGGTTGGTACATCTGTATGCACTTGTATTATGGGTGCTTTGGGAATATTTCCAGAAGCGGACTGCCAGGGTCAGAGGCATGCACACTTCCATGTTTGATCTGTTCCATGTGGCCAGATCAACCTCCAGAAGGTTGTGCAAATGTATGGCTCCCACAGACCACGCACAACAGGTCCTGTCCTCCCAGCCTTGTCGACCGTGGGCATTATCAATTGCTTAAATCCCTGCCAATGTGAGAGGTAAAAATGATTTTACTTTATATTTCCCTGATCATTAATGAAGTCGAGCATATTTGTATACGCTTGTTGACCATTTCTGCTTCTTCATTTATGAATTGCCTGTTTCTGTCCATTTTTCTTTGCACGTGTCTATTCATTCAGCAAGTTTTTATTGAGCACCTACTATGTACTGGGTACTGTTTTGGTTAGGGACCTAACAGTGAAGAAAACTGGCCAAAAAATACCTACTCCATGAAACTTGTGCTTTAGTGGAGGAGAGACGGCTAAGGAAAAACAGACAAATACATGAAATATAGTGTGTGTATAACAGTGTTAATTGCTAAGGAAAAATAAAGCAGGGGAGGCGGATGGGAGGTGTTGGGCAACTGGGTGTGGTGGTCAGGGAAGGCCTCACTGAGAGGTGGCACTTAGTAAGACCTGTAGGAAGCGAGGGAGTGAGTTGCGTAGGTGTCTGGGGAAGTGTGCTGCAGACAGAGGGAACAGCAAGCATGAGGACCCTGAGTCAGGAGCAGGCCTGGCCTGTTCAGGCACAGCAGGAAGGCCATCGTGTCTGGAACAGAGTGAGCAAGGGAGAGAGTGGTGGTGGTCCAGAGAGGCATCAAGAGCGAGGTCATGCACGACCTTGTGGGCCACCCACCCGAAAGCCTTTGGCTTTTACACAGAATGAAGTAGGGAGCCATGGAAGGTTCTGAATAGTAGCATGATGTGACCTGAATTACATTTTAAGCAGATCCCTCTGGCAGCTGTGAAGCAGGGAGTCAGCCAGGAGGCTGTTTGTTGCAGTGATC